CGTGAGCACAGTTTGCTGGCCACAATCGTCAGGGACAACTATGTCACTCCTAAAACCCACACGCAAGACACGTCTCTTCCTGGTGAACAGCAGGGATGATCCAGGGTGCACACGCCTGTGACTTACTGCTGACTGTACGAGTGTTGGAGGTAAAGAAGTTTGGTCTCCACCCTTCCTGGGTGTAGAAATAAACCCTTAGTAAAAGTAGCTGGAATCTACAATCAGAAAGCTGAGGCAGGAGGATCATGAGGTTTGAGGTAAGTCTGAGCATACAATGGTTTCTGTTTTTAAAAACAAAAGTAAGCAGGGAAAACAGGAACCTGGGAGGAAAAACAGTGACAGATGGTAGAAGTCACAGCCAGCAATAGAGGGCACGGGGCTAACAGCTGACTCCTGACCAACTTCTAAATATCACAAACATATTAAGAATTTTAAATTACATTTATTTACTTATGGATGTATGCTCACGTACGCACATATGGAGGTCAGGGGACAACTTTCGGGAGTCTGTCTCTCCTTCCGTCAGGATCAAATTCAGGCTGATGAGTTCTACCCACTGAGCCATCCTGTTGGCCCACAAACACATAAAACAATTATGTGTGTATGGTGGGGGGCATACCTATGTCACGGTGCTCACGTAGAGGTCAGAGGACAACTGTGGAGCCGGATCTGCCCTTCACTCCACTTGGGTCTGGGAATTGGCAAGCTTGCCCAGCAAGCACTTACCTCCACCCACTGGGCCATCTTGCTGGCCTATGAACACATTTTTTATTGAAGAAATATTTTTATTTCTACTTACACATGGTCAAAAAGGGGTCTAGCCACTGGCCAGTGATAATGTATGACTTTTTGTTTGTTTGTTTGTTTGCTTGTTTTTCTTTTTCTTTTTTTTTTAAATATTTATTTATTATGTATACAATATTCTGTGTGTATGCCTGCTGGCCAGAAGAGGGCACCAGACCCCATTACAGATGGTTGTGAGCCACCATGTGGTTGCTGGGAACTGAACTCAGGACCTTTGGTAGAGCAGGCAATGCTCTTAACCTCTGAGCCATCTCTCCAGCCCTGCTTGCTTGTTTTTCGAGACAGGGTTTCTCTGTAGCTTTGGAGCCTGTCCTGGAACTAGCTCTTATAGACCAGGCTGGCCTCGAACTCACAGAGATCTGCCTACCTCTGCCTCCTGAGTGCTGGGTGATATATGGTTCTTTACAAAAAAAAAAATTAGTGGTTTTGTTTTTTTGGTTGGTTGGATTCTCTCTCTCTCTGCGTGTGTGTGTGTGTGTGTGTGTGTGTGTGTGTGTGTGTGTGAGAGAGAGAGAGAGAGAGAGAGAGAGAGAGAGAGAGAGAGAGAGAACTATCCTCAATTCTGTTCTGTATGAAGAGTGACCTTGAACTTCTGATCCTCCCGCCTCTGCTCCCAAATGCCAGTGCTACAGGCATGCACCACCAAGCCCAGATAGAGTCTCATTCTTCAGTATCACTGCCCACTCAGCCAGAGTTCAGGACGAGGCCCGCTAGACAGGTGTACCCTGAAGAGCCTTGTGTTCAGGAGCAGGCAAGCCAGTGTCCCCAACAGCTGCAGCCTAGAAGTCACAGGGACTCACTCAGAGCTCCGGTACATGCTGCTGCATCCGATCCTCATATCGATCCTGCAAGGTGGATATTTTTAGCATCACTATTTTTATTCTGATTTTGTGCTTTATGTGCTGAAGACAGGACCCAGGGCCACACACGGACACTATGCATTCATCATCGTCATCACCGAAAGACAGGATACAATGTAGCCCAGGCTGGCCTCAAATTTAGCTATGGGCCCTAGGATGACCGTGCACTTTTGATCCTACAGCCTCTGCCTCCTTAAAGTTGGGATTACAGAGGTGTGCCACTCCCCTGGTTTGTGGCCTGCTGGGGAACACAGGTAGGGCAAACACTCTATCCACTGAGCTACGTCTTCAGCCCTGAGGTTAAGAATTACTTAATTAACTTAATTAGTTTATTGGTTTTGGAGAGAAGCTCATTAAGTTAGTAAGGCTAGGGCTGGAGATGAAGTTTCATGGTAAAATAGTCAGCTTTCATGCATGAGGCCCAAGCTTCAATCCTCACTGGAAACAAAAGAAGACAGCCCAAGGTGGCCTCAGATATATAGTCCTCCTGCCTCCGCATCTCAAGTTCTGGGGTCATAGGCATATGTCCCCCCCTGTGCCCAGCCAGCATCACCGTCATTACATTTAAAGAAGAAAACTGAGACCCAGAGAGGGCAAGACGGTTTCCCAAGGTCACACAGCTCACAAATGCAGAGAAGCCAATATAAATAAATTAATTAATAAAATAAAATAAAAGACAGCTCTGATGAAATCCTATCCTCTTTCTAAATCCATGATTCAGGATTTATCCCGGTGCCTCTGGAGAGAAGAGCTTTACAGCGGACAGTCAGCAGAAGGGCTGGGGAAGTCAGCATCGGCCTGTACAGCTGAGAGTGCTGGATGTACCCATTCCCTGAGGCTGCTGTAACAAATTGCCAGGAACTGATGCATGACTTAGAGCAGCAAGGTTACTTAATCTCACAGTTCTGGAGTTTGGGTACCAGCCTCTCCCAGGCTGAATTCAGTGCATCAAGTGTGAAGACCCTCCTGAGGTTTCTACCACAAGATGTACTCTTACCTTTCTCGGCTCTTGCAGGATGCCAGCATCCCTTGGCTAACGGCCCCTCTTCGAAGGTGTATCTGATGCTGACGTCTGCTGCCGTATCTCTGATGTGACTTGGCCACTAATGAAAGCCTTTGTGACCGTTTTGGATGAATCCTAATCATCAGACTCCTAGCTTGATCACACCCGCAGTCTCCTTTGCCATCTAAGGTACCAGATTATGGAGACTGAGGTGTGAACTTCTTTCGGGGGGTTATTATTCTGCCAGACCTGGAGACTCCTGACACAGCTGTTCAGAACCAGGGTCCTATAAAGACCCTTAGTTCAAATCCCAACTCTCTCGGTGCTGGCAGATCCAAGTGTGTAACTTACCTCGTTTTCAGTGGCCTCCCCTAAGAAGTCAGAGCAAGGGTCTTCCTTGTAGTTCTATATGAAGGTCAGATGTGTGCAGCACAGGGTTGAGTAGGTAACCGCCCTCCAACCCGGGCCCTGCTCTCCTGTGATAACAGATGTTCTTAGTCTGGGTTACTATTTCTGTGATGAAACACTATGACCAATAGCAAGTTGTGAGTGGTATTTGGCTTATGCGCCTAGATCACTATTAATCACGAAGGAAGTCGGGACAGGAACTCAGACAGGGCAGGAACCTGGAGGCAGGAGCTGATGCAGAGGCGAGGAGGGGTACTGCTTACTGGCTTGTCTCTCATGGCTTTCTCCACCTGCTCTCTGAAGCACTCAGGACCACTAGCCCAGGGGTGTCTCCACCCACAGTGGACTGCGCCTTCCCCTGTTGATCACTAATTTAAGAAAATGCCCTACAGGCCTGCCTACGCTTATGGAGGCACTTTCATACTTGTGGGTCTCTTCCCAAAGGTGATTACAGCCTGTGTCAAGTCGACATAAAACTAGACAGCACTGTTGAGTATTGTTTTGACTAGGCAAAGATGTTACATTTGTTTATGCTGCAGAATATCCCTTTAACCGTGTAAAGGAGCGTAACTTTTGTCCATACTGTATTTTTTCATTGTGTGAAGATGCATTGCGCTTGCTTTATCTTGCCTGCCTAAAGCACCTGATTGGTCTAATAAAGAGCTGAACGGCCAATAGCTAGGGAAAGAAAGGATAGGCGAGGGTAGCAGGCAGAGAGAATAAATAGGAGGTGAAATCTAGGCTAGAGAAGGAGAGGAAGGGGAGAAGAAAGAGAGAAAGAAGACACCTGAGGCAAGAAGTCAGACAGGTGCCAGACAGGTAGAGAAAGAGTAAAAGTAAGATATACAGAAAGAATGTTAAAAAAAAAAGCCCCCAGGCAAAAGGTAGATAAAGAGGAACCGGTTAATCGAAGTGAAAAGCGCTAGCCAGAAACCAGCCCAAGCTAGGCTGAGCATTCAAAACTAATAATAAGTCTCTGTGATGTGATTTGGGCATTGTTAGTGTCCCAAAAGGAAAAGCCTGGTACACAGCACAACAGGTAATAGAAAGTCACCGTTTGAGATTCATAGCTTTAAATCTTTTGTCCTAAGGACACGTCTCAGACCCTGGTGAGCTAACACGTAGTGGGGTGAATTGGCTGGCCGCTCCTGTGTGGGAAGATACAGGGGAAAGAACCACACGGGGGCGGAGAGTTGAGTTGAACAGGGGAGGCAATGAGCGGTGCACACTTTGTCTGCCACTCTCTCGGCTTTACTCATAGCCCAGCTTTGACTGTGAAGTTTTTGGCCTCTCCACCCTTGAGGTTGGTTTTCCGAGAGAGACGAGATAGATGGACCCGCCCAGCTGGATGAGATGCGGAGTCGGGCGGGGCTGGGCCTGGATCCCAGGCGTGGAAAAGTACCAGTATTCCTTGTTTCCACCTTAGGGACCGTCTGAATGACCTGCCTCCAGTCTGTCAGGATGAACTGCAGCCTAGAGGCCTGGGCGTTGGGTGTAACCAATAACTATCTGCAGGTTTGTGGAGGATTGAGGGAGAATGGTCAGGGGAGCGGATGGGAACCCAGGCTGGGTTCAGGGTAAGGATACAGCAGCTACTTTTGCGCTCCAAGCCTCTATTTCCAAAAACGCCTTTTGCACCTCCCAATTCACAGATCATCCTCAAATTAATCTTTTGCTAGCTGTTACTGCAAGTTAGAAGTAACAGCCTACAGTGTGTGATTGGACTCCGGCAGAATACAGCCCTGTGAATTTGCAGACTGGGAGTATCCAGGAATCCCAAGGGAGCTTGGCTGCAACGAAGCTGTGCAGCTTGTCCAGAAAGAGGTCATCCCCAGTAGGAGGCGCCTTTTGTCTTCAAACAGCTTCTCTGACACCGGGCGGCCCAAGGACTTCTCAGGCCTTGAACTTCAAAGGGTTGGGCGCGCACCCACGAAGCAGACCCTGGCCTGACTCTTGTCGGAATTCTGAGTTGGCAAGGAACGTAGATCCGTGCCTGGAGTCGCGGCGTTTCCAGGCAAACTTCCAGGCAGGTGAGACGGCTCTCAGTTCGTAGGGCCCTCCCCCGCTCCAGGCTGAGAGAGAAGTCTGCCTGTGATTCGCTGGAAAGTTTTCTGCCAAACTGGTAACGCGCCCTTTTGGGGGACACTCCCGGGCCGCACACTCTACCCGACCTGGGGCTCAAAGTGGCGACCCTGAAAGCGTCCGGGAGACCCGAGAGTGGGAAGCTGGCCGAGGGAGTGAGCTGAGAGGCTGGGAAAACCTCGCTTCCTTCCTCCTTCCCTCCTCCGCCCGACACTGGGCTGGGCGACCCGGAGCTGCTGGTGGAGAAAAGGCGGCCGTCCGCGCGCGCACAGGAAGGTGAGTTTACCGCCAGGTGAGGTCGCCGAGCAGGGACTCCCAGGTCCCATTACCCCGCAAGTGTCCCCTTAAACAGCCATCCCCCTGCCGCAGAGTACGAAGTCAGGGACCCTGCACTGCGCTGTGCAGTGCCAGGCCCTCCAGCCTGCTCCGCCCCGGGGTCCTGGTCCCCCGCCCGGTGGCGCAGGGCGCAGGGTGGGCAGGTGGGCGGCGCCTCCTGCGGGCGCCCTCGGTCCCTCCCTCGAGCTCTCCGCGCTTTGGCCCGTGCTGGCTAATCCCCACCGCAGTAGCCGGGCTGCGCTCCCCAGTTCCGGCTCCTAGGCCTATGATTGCCTGGGGTGGGGGGCTGTCGCGGAACCCCCAGCCCCAGGCGGCCGGGCAGAGACCCAGTGCGACCCGCTGCCTCCCGGGTGAGTCTGCGCCCTTGCGCCGGGGATGAACTGTGGGGCCCCAGTCGGGTTTCCGTGCTTCCCGGCGTATCACGCAGAACCTGTCCCCCAGGGGACTCGGAATCCCGCACTCTTTGCAGCCGCACCCGGCCACTGTGGGGTACTCCCGCCTCCCGCATCGCTCCGGCTTGGGCCTGGGGGGGGGGGCTGTTGGCTGGGACAGGTGCCATCTGCCTGGGCCTGGACAGATGCACCTAGGCTCGGGCGCTTTTGAGAGATAGGGCACCTCGCTGGTCTCGCGAGCCCCTATTCTTGTTGGTGGTGGTGGACACCATCTACTCTTGTTTCTGTCTGTTACCGGATTAAGATTCGTGCTTGTAGAAGTAATCGAGGGGTGGAGAGTCTCCAGGATCCTTGGTTTCTTTACCAGTAAAATAGGAATGACAGAGCCCTGGGTTGAGGCTAGGCATTCCTGTCCAGCAGACCAAGAACTCTGTAGATAAGTTAGGGCTCAAGGGAGATACGATACCTACGAGAGAGTAACTTTGCTCGAACTTGATGTGAGCATTGGGGGTGCATTTGAGAAGGAAACACCATGTCTGATTACCACGTTGGCCCCTTTAAGAGATAATTGTTCTCAGCCATAGGGCAGGAACAGGAGATATGTCCTGGATGCTGTTATGGGGGACCCTGCAAAGTGGAGGTTTGCGCCTCTGATGATGCGTGTGGCTCTGAGCCAGGTCCTTGGCCAATCTAGGAATTTAGGAGGCAGAGCGAAGAGGCAGGGCCAAAGTAGGTGAGACCATGCAAGTTTGCGGGTGCAGGGAGTCCCCATCTGTCTCCTCCAGGGTCTCCTCTGGTTTTTGTTTTGAAGGCTAATGTGAAGGTTGCTCTAATAGAAGGGTCAAACAGCTTCCCCACTGAGACCTGCCACAAATCTCTCTCTCAGAACTGATCAAAAGTTCTGCAGACCCAGACCGAAAGAGATGACAGGAGAACAAGAGAGACCGGTGGTAAATCTGATGGTCGTTGGGTGTCACCCAAGGCTAGGCCTGCCCAATCAGGAAATCCAGGAAATTAGGGGTAGATATGGCAAGGGCCCTGGAGGGCTTCTGATGCTGCAGCCTGGCTGTACTTCTGTTGGCTGCGCGATCGAGGATGGCCAATCTCCTCCTCTGAGATGGGAGCGCTGGGCCCCTAGACTGGGATGAGGTAATGGTGGCGCATACTCTGTAGTTTGTTATATTAGGAGGGAAAAAAAAAGAGCAAAGAACTGGTGTAGTGATCGGGACACTGGCATCCCTTGGGGGACAGGAGAAGAAGGTGTCAGAGCTGCTCAGATGGTAGCAGCAACAATATGGAGATGTACTGGGTGGAGCACCATTCAGGGAGTGAGGGTGGGTTCGTGGGAAGGTGGGGGGGGGGGTCCATGATGAGACAGACTGGGCAGGCAAGGGTTGTCTTGGAGCATCCCACAGAGATGGGCAGAGGTAGACGGAGCATTTTCCATCGGCCAGGAGCTGCCTAAGGTGGACGGTGTAGACACATTTCATTCCAGGTCTTAAGGCAAGGGAGTCATTTGATCATGAGGTTAAGATAATTCTTGTGAGGGTGGCGGGCTGGTCTCAGTGGTGGAGTGCTTGCTCATCGCACGAGGCCCCGGGTTCCACCCCTAGCACTGAACAAGACACAGCAGCAGCCACTCAAACTTAATTCAAAAAAGACAGGGGCAGGAAAACCAGCTATGGGCTGGACAGCCGGGACACTGAGGGACACTGGATAGAAGACCTTACTGGAGGCAAGGATTAACTTGTGACCTTCACACATGACTAATGATCAAGGACAAGATTCCTGGACTCCGTGGGAGGCCCAAATGGTCTTTCCTATGAGGGAGCCCGAGGGAGCCCATGAGTTCCCAGGATGTTGGCAGGGCCCTGCACTCTCCAACTGTTGCTTGGGTTCCAGATGTCACAGGCTCAGGCTTTTCTCCATCTACACTGGGGACAGAAGAGGTGGCTCCTGCTCACATTCTGTATGAGCCGCTGCCCCTGGCAGTGTGGGGGTGGGGAGGACGGGGAGGCATCAGATTTACACCTTCGCGTTTCTGCACTTTTGTTCTGAGGCTGGCAGGGAACCCTTTCCAGCCTCTTGGGCTAGAGTGGAAGGGCTTGGGCTCTAAGCTCCTCTTGTGGAGAGTCTAGGGCAGGATCCTAGGGAGTCGGAGATGCCGGGAAAGTTCCAGCATCTTCCAGTGGGGTGTGTGGAATCTGCGTCTGGCTGCTGTTTCCTTTCACTTTTACGATGAGCGCTCTGGCGCACAGGGGAGCACAATCCCGCACTGAGCAGCCTCAAGAACACCTTCCGTGTCCGAATTCTCTCATTGCCTCAAGGTTATAGGGGGATCCTTCAATGGAGCAGGTAGAGGGGGGAGCGTCCAGCTGTCCACCCACCACTTTCGTATGCCCATGTGATTCAGAAGAGCCAGCAGTTAGAGGCACACAGAAGCCCAGACCCCCTTCTGGGATCCTTCGTGTGATCCCCAAGGGGCCTGGCCACGTAGGGGTCAGGTTGGATAATTTCTTAGCGTCTAGATCTTTCTGGACGTTCCACTGAGTCCTGCTTTTCCCCCAGCCTGGACAGGTGGCGCAGCCTAGCCTAGCCTGGCCTAGGCAATGTCTTTTTTTTTTTTTTCCAGGGCTTGGCGCCGGGCCTCCTCTCCTGGGAGTTCTTGTTTGGTTTTCCTTCCCCCGCCACAGGCCAGGCTGCCTTGACCACTTCCAGATGGCCCAAGACTGGGGCCAGAGATCTGACAGGTGGGTCTATGCTAAGCTGTTCCAGCCACCACACCTTGGGCTGACTCCTCACTGCCCTCTCTCAAGCCCCAGTCCTAGCTCAGAACGGCTGTTTAGCCCTGGTGCACAGCCTGCTGCCAGTCAGCTGTTTACTGGGCTCCCAGCTCCCGTCTCCCTTGGCCTAGATTTACAGGCTCAGCCGCCCTCCCATTTGCATGCTGGGCACTTTTGGACCTAGAATGTTGGAACCAGCAGGGGCCTCAGCTTCAGAAGTCTAACCTGCTGATCTCGCAAATGGGAAAACTGAGGCTCAAGGAAAGGGAAAGACAAGCCTGAGATCAGAGCCCAGGACCTGAGATTGTCTTTCCCAACTCTGTCTAAGACGATTTCTTTTGATTTCATCTTATTTACTATTAGTGTGGATGTGCAGGTATGTGCGTGCCGAAGCCTGTGCGTAGAGGTCAGAGGCCAACTTTGGGGAGTCAGTTGTTTAATTCTACCTTGGGTTCTGGGGATAGGAGCTCAGGTCCTGGGGCTTGGCAACAAACACCTTTCCTTGCTGAGCCATCCCATCGGCCTGTCTTGGATGTTTTTGAGGGTCCTTCTGCTTGTTTGTTTGTTTGTTTGTTAGTTTGAGGGACCGGGTCTCATGCAGCCCAAGCTGGCTTTGTACTCCGTATATAGCTGAGGACGATTTCTGCTCCTCCTGCCTCACCTCCCGAATGTAAGGACATTCAACGCCTTGCTGGGACGTGGTGCTGGGGCTGGACCGCAGGGCCTCGAGCGTGCTGGGTGGTGAGCACTTTACCAACTGAGCCCCACACATCCTCAGACCCCGTGGGTGATTCTTAGGAGCAGAGAGTTGAAGCTGAAAGCCCACGCAGGGTGATCCCCCCTTCCAGAAGCCCCCTTCTCGCTATGCCGCACACGCTCCACAGCGGTGTGTTGAGAAGGAGTTAAGGGTAGGGGGCCTGAAAGACATGGGAGTGGGGCTGACATTGTCAGAGCCTGTCTGTGGGAGGGAGATGTTGGTGTCTGAGATTGCCTTACCCACTGAGCCACGCAGTCTCTGAAACCGCACACTAAGGAAAATGCTGCTTCTCCGCACGGCAAGCACACACCTATCCCTCGTAAAGACAGGAAGGGCAGTGTCATGGACCCAGCCGCACTGGCTGTAGGAATGCGTGATTTTGCTCTACCATGTTACCTCGGTTTTGTTTTCTGAAGTGTGGTGCTCCTAAGGGACTAGTTTTCCCCTACAGGTTCTGGCGTGCTAGACTCATGTGCTTCTACCTGAAGGCCATCAGGAATTCAGGAGTCTGGACTGTAGGGTCAGTTCAGTCAGGACACTGCCTTGACCCAAATCTAACACAATGCGAGGTGCGCGGGGCTTCGGAGTCCATGCTTCTCCATCTCTATGAGTGTTAGAGGACTATGATGCTCGCGTCTCATGAGGTTCTTAGAAAGAGGAGGCACTGGTGGGAGCCCAAGGTAACACAGAGGAAGAGCCCGATTTCGGTCGGATTCATCGTAAGTCAACCGGTGATGCCATCCCTGATCCCATGGCTTCCCCAGACCAGGCATTGTTGTGGGATGTCAGAAGTAAGTCCCAAGGAACATCTAATTTGGGCTTGTTCATTTCAGCCCTTCTTCCCAGGAAGAGGTAGAGAAGGTGGAGGCTAGAGTGGTGTCTCCGTGGCTAAAAGCACTTGTTCTACAGTCAGGAGTTCAGACCCTAGCTTGCAACAGACTGCGTATCTCTTCATTGCCTGTAACCCCAGCTTTGTCGAGGATGGAGACTGGACCATCTCTGGGGTATACTGGCTTCCAGTCCAGCTGAGGAAACGAGAGCCCAAGTTTCAAGGAGAGACCTTGCCTCAAAGCCATGGTTCTTAACCTTCCTAATGCTGCAACCCTCTAATACAGTTCCTCATGTTGTGGGGACCCCCAACCATACAAGTATTTTCATTGCTACTTCATAACTGTAAATTTTGCTGCTGTTATGAATTTTAATGTAAATTATCTGATGGGCAGGATATCTGATATGTGACCCCTGTGAAAGGTCGTTTGCGACCCGTAGGTTGAGAACCACTGCCACCAAGGAATGGGCAGGGAGTGCTGAGAATGACACATGGAGCCCCTTTCCTGACCTTTGCACATGTGCACTGCTGTGCACACACACACAGAGAGGCACACAACTCTCTCTCTTACTCCCCCCATACTTATCTTAAATATTTTAAAATATTTTTTAAAATGAGAATCAAAGGCAAAATAAAATGTGCAGAGAATTTGCTTCCTAGGCAAGTGATGCAGGGAGGGGGCCTCTTGGGGGGTAGACTTCTGGGACTGATGAAGTCCTGAATGGACATGGTACTGATGATGGGGTCCTGGATGGACATGGTACTGATGGTGGAGACTTGGATGGACATGGTACTGATGATGGAGTCCTGGATGGACATGGTACTGATGGTGGAGACCTGGATGGACATGGTACTGATGATGGAGTCCTGGATGGACATGGTACTGATGGTGGAGTCCTGGATGGATATGGTACTGATGATGGAGTCCTGGATGGACATGGTACTGATGGTGAAGTCCTGGATGGATATGGTACTGATGGTGGAGTCCTGGATGGACATGGTACTGGTGATGGAGACCTGGATGGACATGGTACTGATGGTGGAGTCCTGGATGGATATGGTACTGGTGATGGAGTCCTTGATGGATAATGGGGGTCTTCCAGGCTAATGTTTACAGGCTATAAGCAACTTCTTTTATTTGTTCGGGTCGGGTTTGGTTTATTGAGACGAGGGCTTTGTATTCCAGGCTGGTCTCCACTAGCTATATAGATAAAGATGATCTTGATCTCCTGATCCTCCTGCCTTCACTACTCTGGTTCTGGTAGGCATTTGCCACAGGTTTATGTATTATCTTATCAGTGGGTTTGACGGTTGGCTAAATGTTCTTGCCTTGTCTTTTTAAACCGTGAAAGAGAAGAAAGGCTAGAAATCTATATGCATAATTTTAAAAACATTTTGTTTTGCGTCTGTCTGAGAGGTGTTGAGGCAGTGTGTAGGTACCATGGTTAGTACACAGAGGTCAAGGGATGACTTGCAGGAGTTGGCTCTCTCCTGCCATGTGGGGCCCAAGAATCAAACTCAGGTCACTGGACTTGGTGGCAAGCACCTTTACCTTCTGAGTCATTCACTGGCCCATGGAAAGTACTTTTATTAAAAATTTTAAATTATTATTATTTTGGTATTTTGAGACAAGTTCTCACCATGTAGCCCTGGCTGTCCTGGAACTCAGCTCCCAGAGATCCTCCTGCCTCTGCCTCCCGAATCCTAGGATTAAAGGTGTGTGCCACCACACCCAGTGTATTTTTAAAATCGCATTTATTTACTTATTTTGTGTGTGTATGTGTGGGTGTGGGTGTGAGCTAGGGTGCGTTGTGTCAAGGTATGGCTGACGAGATCAGAGGACAGCTGGCAGGAGTTGGTTCTCTTCTCCTGCCAAGCGGGTCTTATCAAACGCGAGTCATGAGGCTTGGCTTCACCACACATCCCTTTGCCTGCCGAGCATCTCTTGGGCTTATGGGCAGTCTGTATGTGAGTGTAGTCTGAATCAAACAGCGTATGTTTGTCTCTGCAGTAAGAGCTTTGGGCAGTCCTGCTCCGGGCCACTGGGTTTTTAATGCTGTGATCCTGGGAACTCGGGTTTCCTTGGCTGGTTCCCAAGAAGCAGCTCAGGGGTTTGCAAGGACAGAGGTCAGGGGTGGGAGGCAGGGCCAGCAGGAAGGAGGAGCTGCCTGCAAGTGTTCTACATACACCCTGAGTGCAAACGGTCCCTTTAAGGAATCCAGAGACCTTAAAAGTAAAATCTATCCCAAAGTAGAAAGCTGCTCTTTCCCAAGCCTCCTCAGTTCTTAGAAGAAACAGAAGCAAGGGGCGGGTGGGCACGGGACCTCACTCTGATGAGTGCTTCCAAGTGGAGACTGTGACCAGCATTTCAAAGGAGGCCAGGCGTTGGTGTGAGGAAGCGAGCTGGCCTGGACCCACGTCCACAGCCCAGACTGTGCTGGCTGAAGGCCACACTGTGCATGCACTAGGAAGACTCTTTAGGAAAGCCCTTTGCTATCTGGCAGCAGCCCTGCTTATAATGCTGTCATCAGGGCTGGAGAGATGGTTAGGGTCACTGGCTGCTCTTGCGGAAGACCTGGGTTTGGGTCCCAGAACCCACATGGCAGCTCAAAGCAGCCAGAGCTCCAGTTCCAGAGGATCTGATGTCCTCTTCTGGCTTCCTTGGGTTCCTACAGACACATGAATACACACACACACACATGCATATATGCAAGCACTAACATACAAATAAATTAAAAATAACTCTTTTTTAAAAAGCACACATTACTTTATTCAATGGCTGCACTTATCTACCACCCAGGCATAATAATCCTACTTCCTATTTAGTCATTTCTTCTTTTTAGGGAGATTTATTTATTTACTTATTTTATGTATATGAATGCTCTATCTGCAAGTATGACTTTATGTCAGAAGATGACACCAGATCTCACTATTGATGGCTGTGAGCCACCATGCAGTTGCTGGGAATTGAACTCAGGACCTCTGGAAAGCAGTCAGCGCTCTTAACCGCTGAGCCATCTCCCCAGCTCCTCTTCTCTTCTTTTTAATATTCTCTTTTCACCTTTTGGGGCAAGGTCTCACATATCCCAGGCTGGCCTCAAACTCGCCAAGTTCTCCACCATGATCTTGAACTCCAGATCCACCTGCCTCTACCACTTGAGTGCTAGGATTATAGGCGTGCCCACCACACTAGTTTGTAAGGTGTGGGGCTCGAACTCAGAGCTTTGTGCTTGCCGGACAAGCACGCGTCCAATGAACTGCATCCCGACCCTTCCTCTCTCTCTCCCTTGCTCTCTCTCTCTCTGTGTATGTATGTATGTATGTAGTGTGTGTGTGTGTATGCGTGTGTATAGGTATGTGTGTAGTATGTGTGTGTAGTGT